TCTCCGGTTATTTAATATTGTGACATGAAATATGATCACTATGTATTTTTATTTGCAACTAAGCAACATTGATGTTCTGCAAGCATAACAGTAATGAAATATTCATATAAACTGCAATTCACTTTTTAAACTCTTTAGTCATAAGATTTTCATAGTATGTTATACAATCATTTTCACTAACCAGAAGCCTCACCATCATTCTGATACATTTTGCAGTAGGCAAGATCTGACTAAAAGCTTCATTCTTTATGGATAATTGCAAGACATTCACCTTAAGGATACCGTATTAATATCTTAATTTGATAATATGAGTGCGATTCAAGCTAGACAGTGATTGTAGAGTTGTAATTGTCTCTCTTGCTATCAAAGCTGATGTGGATTACGTGTCTGATCTCAGTTTCAATTTCCAGACCTCTCACTGATCATCAGGGAACAGTACCATTATAATTAAAAGATGGTTCATGTTTGTTCCCAATCTATTCTAGACAGACAGGAACATCTCCCTTTTCCTACAGATACATACAGGCAACACAAGATCTGGCATCTTACTATGTGGAAGGATTTCAAGTACAAATTGGTTTAGATAACAAATGTTGCCAGTAGAGTTTTTATTGAGATAATCAATCTAAAGCTCACTGAACATTTTGGGCCACTTCTAATATTTTTCTGTTTTCTCTTCTCTACAATGTCCTACAGTAAGACCAATGTCCTTATCCCTGTAGGACATCCCTTGGTAGAGGTACAAAGTGTTTACTGTATTATAGATTGAATCACAATTCAAACAGCAAAACACTGAAAAGTTGTCTTTTCTTTGCTCAAATCTGAAATTATTTCATGCTGCAAAAACAATGATAGTAATCCTGCCTTGATGTTAGATACAGACAGAAGAACCACAACTGTACACTCTTTAGCATGATATGATGCACCATTTTATTTTGTTGATATGAACTATAAAATATATACTGTTAGTAGGAGAGGCTTTGCCACTGCTATTGATTGAAGTTATTAACAGTTATGCTGTTTGGGGAAGCAATGTAAGGCACTAAGCTAGACCAAAGAAAACGTTGTAAAAGGGTGATTGCCTGACTGAGAAAAGAAAAAAAAAAATTAGGACAAAACCAATAGACAAGATCCTAACAGAAAATGCTACCTGAATGTGCAGTGTAGAGGAAACTAATCAAATACTCTACACTGGGATATTTTCATTCAAAAAAAAAATATAAATGGAAGATGGGGTCTTTAGTGAAGCCATGCTGCCAAAAATATTACTTATTTTTAGGAAGCTGGCAGGTTTCTTTGAGGGTAGAAGGAGAAAAGTTAACCAATGTCATACAATTGGTTGTGATACAATATAAAAGTCAAGTCCAAATGACCTAAGTTGCACCTAAGCTGGCAGAAACCTGGCAGATGCACCTAAAACTGCAGCTTTTTTTTTTTTTTTCCCCACTGCATCCTTCAGTAAGGCCAGCTCAGCCATCACGCCTGGAAGCTCTTTTTCACTTCTGTCTTTCCTCATTGCAGCATAAACCCTGTAGGTATTTGCACACCCTGGAAATGATTCGCTATCTTTAGGTCAGTTTGCCATTGCTCTGGCCCTGCTCCAAGTGAAAGTAAATCATACTTAGCAAAATCTATTCTTTAAAGGTTAAGGAGTTTCTGTTACTCACACTTTTCATACCTATTTTATCAAACTTTGCATGTGACAGGCAAGAATTTGCAGAAACGTAATCTTATGCAATAAGCTTGCTAAGCTAGCGTTAAACTTGGTAAAAATTATCTAAATTCAATGCAATTCCCTTCCTGAAAACCTGAACATTTCTTAAGTTGCTAAATTCTGCTTAACACTTTATAATCAAGATAGAATTTGCAAAAAATGTAACCTAAACTTAACACCTATGCCGTGCCTACTCATAACTAATATTAATATTCTAATGAAATGCAGCCATGTCTTTTGATTTTAATCACTTCTTTCTCCAGTTTCAGCTATCCCACAGGACAGTATTTGCCCTATAGTGGCTATTTATTTCAGGAAGGAATGAAATGCTCTCTGAAGATTCCTGCCTCTGTTCATGTAAGAAAAAGCTGAGATGACTAGAAAAGGACAAAGACCTAGTTTTTCATAGCCCTGTTTAGGTGAGAATGGATGCCGCGGGTAATTGAATGCAGCCAAATAATTGTCTATTTTATATATGATACAAAGCCAATGGAAATTATTTGGACAGACTGACAGTATTCTTGATTCAGAGGGATTTGGGGCCAAGCGCTTCATGCAGGTTTCTATAAAAGCAGAGAAAAAGCGCCCTGAGAAGTCCATGTATTCATGTGCCTTGATATTTGTTACTAATGTGTCCAGTTAATGTCAAAGTCATCATGGTAACACCACTTCAGTATTGTAGGACTTAATTACAGGGCAGAAAATCCAATTGACATGGTCAAGACTTACAAGTCTTAATATGACACATTGTATCATTGGTTGAGACATGGAGACAAGAAAATGCCATCACACATGCAGAAATCAGCTGAGCCAGACAATAGCTGATCTGTTGAGCAGAAGAAATAATTTTATTTGGGTTTTGTTGCCACTTCTTTTATCTTCCAGTTATGGCACATGATGGTCTTCAGAGTAAATTTGCAACTTCACAGTTAATTATACAACAACAGAAATGCAGTAGCTGTAGGAATTTTCTATCTAAGCATGTATGGAAGAGATGGATAAAATTTAGACTTAGAATCATAGAATGGTTTAGGTTGGAAGAGACCTTGAAGATCATCTATTTCCAACCCCCTGCCACAGGCAGGGGCACATCCCACTAGACCAGGTTGCTCAAAGCCCCAACTTCTTAGATCAGCTATTACAGAATCACAGAATCACAGAATTTTCAGAGTTGGAAGGGACCTCTAGAGATCATCTAGTCCAACTCCCCTGCTAAAGCAGGATTGCCCAGAGCACATTACTCAGGACTGCATCCAGGTGGGTCTTGAAAATCTCCAGAGTAGAGGACTCCACCACCTCCCTGGGCAGCCTGTGCCAGTGCTCTGTCACCCACACTGTAAAGAAGTTTTTCCATGTGTTGGAACAGAACTTCCTTTGGTCCAGCTTGTGCCCATTGCCCCTCGTCCTGTCACTGGGACCCACCGAGAAGAGTCTGGCTCCATCCTCCTTCAACCCACCCTTTAGATATTTGTAAGCAACAATAAGGTCTCCCCTCAGCTTTCTCTTCTCCAGGCTAGAGTCCCAGCTCTCTCAGCCTTTCCTCATAAGGGAGATGCTCCAATCCCTCAATCATCTTGGTTGCCCTTACTCTGGGGTCCTTCCTAGCTGATAGAGACCATGATATTTCTGAGGCTGAAGAATATCCATCTCCAGGAAAGAAGACTCATTCAGCTACCTCGACACTCGTGCTTACATGTTATGTCACTTTTTCACATTAGCAGGATGCTCTATGACACTGAAAGCCATGCAGAACTCATCTCTCTGATAGTGTCTTACTTTCAACAGACCACCAACCATTTAACACATGCTTCATCCAGCTCACCTTGAATCCTTCTGGATCAAGGAAGGAAAACATCACAACCAATATTTTGGGCCCCACATAGTAATATTTGTTCCAAAGAGTGACTGCAGAAATGGAAACCAACAACTTCCTCCCTCTGCTCCCTAGGACTCTTCTCCCACCCTCGCATCTGAATGTAGCCATTACTGTATTTTTCATGTATAGAAGAAAAAACAAGAAGAACACTTTTTTTTTTTTTTTTTTCTTTTTTTAATAATGGAAAGAGGACGATATCTCCTTGGCAGTCAGCTTTTACATAGATGGCATAGCATTCCACTTCTTCAAGTTACCTGTATTTACCTGGGTACACCAAAGGATAAAGGAAGGCAACTCTACTTTTCTCTATTATCATTTTGTGTTGTTTAATCAAACTTGGCAGGTCACTGGAATGTCCAGAAGAGCTGGGTGAAAATGTATCAGTCTGATAGTCCTCACAGTTTGGTACAATTTAGCTTTCTTTGCTCCTTCCCAAGCTCTGATGTTCCCGTTAAAGAGCTTAATCAATCCATTCATCTACAGGTTACAACAATCATTGGGGGAAAAAAAAACCCCAAACAACAAAACCCCTCAAATACAAACACTGGGAATGTAAGTTTATTTTCAAGCTTCTGAATGTTTTACAACAGTGGAGAGCAAAAACAGTCACACATAAGAAAATACTTAGCAATATTCCTAGCAGGGTCCTCGTCCATCTCCCATGGGTCTCATCCTTTTTCTGTGTAAAAGTTTGCTTTTCTTTTTAATGTACTTGAAAAAACAGTTATTCTTTAATGATTATCTTATGGAGTGTTGTTCTTCCCAACACTTCCACCTTCTGCTATGTGGCTATCAGAAATTTTCTAATTTGTAGCTACTGAAATAACAGAACCTGAGGCTGCATTGGGTTTTACTGTGAACTGTGAGTGTTTTTTTCTTCTAGAGAGACAGTATAAAAAGGCAATATAAGAGGACTTTCTAGTCATTGTGTTGCAGTTTGGCAAGACATTCAGCTTCTTATTTGCATGTTTATTAAATCAAAACAAGGAACAAAGCTTGAACAAGCTGGATAGACTCCATTTCCCATTGCATAAGGATGAGATATCAGTTTCCAGAGCCGGTCATCTATGGTGTCACTGTAGGATACAGCTGGTGTCCACACCCTAGACACATTGTGATATATAGTTCATCAGTGAAAATGCACAGGAAGTGAACCCAGAAGTGATTTTTGTGTTTGTAGTGCAAAATATATGAATGAGAGGGCCAGTCAGTGTTTAATATGGCACTGCAATGCTTGCCCTACAGAAGATGTCCAGTAGGCAACTGTTGTAGAAGTGGATCATCATCCAGTTTGCTCAGTATAAAATGCAATCATTATGTTTTGTGGGTTTTTTGGTTTGTTTGTTGTTTGTTATTTTTTTTCCCTAATCAGGCTTTTATATGTGATTACTCCAGATCCTGAGGCCATCTTTAGCACACAGATGTGGTCATTTTTACTCCAGAACTAGATGGCACCGTCCATCTTGTCCTCCTCCACACTGGCATAAGTCCATATCTCTTACCATGCCACCTCCGGCCAATTTCCGTTTGTACCTCAAAAGAAAAGGAGAATGCTATTTTGTGGTCAAGTACTGCTTGGGAGTAGACTGGTGGGAAAGAAGAAGGACAGAAATGGTAGCTAGAGAAGTGTAAAATCTAGACACCTCAGTCCAAATTAGTTCCTCTGGGCTCCCTTTCTGGCTGAAAAGCAGAGAAAAGTAGGATCCTCCAGAGAATGTTTCATCTAGCCTGTCTCAGCATGCTCATCCCTCTACACTGCTGAAAACGTCTAGTGTGGCCATCTCAGAGTTGGCTTCCCATGTTGAAAAGAATAAATGAACCCCACTCTTCCTTTCAAGAAGTAAGGACATACTTTGTGTGAGTCCACCCAGTCCTGTGTTCCTACTTAATGATTATGAGTCCAATAATCAGTTTATTATTGGAGCTGTCACACAGTTAAATAAATGAAAAAAGTAACACTTCCGTTTTTCACTTACCTGGTTTCAATTTCTACCTGGTGGTCTTCAATCCACCTTCCTCTGCTGAACTAAAAAGTCTATCAGCACTAAATAACTTTCTCCCATCAAAGTAATAATACTATGATATCTTTATGCACAGTTAAGTCAGCTCAATCTTCTTCTGAGAAATAGCTTGAGATCTTTAACTATAGCACCACAAACATTTTTTCCATTACTAGAATATTTTCTCAGCTCTTTTTGTATCTTTCCCCCCTTTTTTTTTTTAAATATCCCATTGAAAATTTATTCCAGTAATGCTTTAACCAACGTTGCCTATACAAACACATTCACTCCACATTGCTTGCTCTTCCTTGCTGAGGGATGTTGTCTTGTTTCGATCTGTTTCTAGAACAATATCATCAGCAGCGAGTTTCTTAATCAACACTCACCGATTTGTGGCTGAGAAATAATATTACTTTGCTATTTAAGACGGTGAGGGGAAAGCCATCAGCAGTCAGGAGACTTTTGTTTTCTGTTGTTGAGAGCTATGTATGCCATGCATTGGCATGTTCGCAGAAACATAGTGAGTCCAGACCAGCCACTAAAGCCTGCTTTCACTTCTGATTCTTCTTAGAAATGTGCCTTCCCAGTAGTTTAATAGGAAGAAAAATTCTAAATTGAAATGCAGTATATCTGGGACGACAAACTGAATGCAAAACTATGATCTACCATCAGAATAGATTAGGATTATTAATAGACTAGTGAACAAGAGCATCAACTGAACACAAGCATCATTAGAGCAGTCAAAAATTCATAGCCATATACTCAACCAAAAGGCTAAGAAGTTATAATATATTTGAAAATATTTGTTTTAATATTTCAGATATTTCTGACAAAATTAAGCAAGTGTGGACCACGGCACACACAGATAATTAAATTCTGTTTGGAACCTTAATCAGCCCAAGGTTTTCAACTTGAAAATGAAGATTTAGCCAATACAGCCCAGGGAGCCGAGAGTTGGTCAGCTGCCTCTAACACAGACAACTGTTCTTGATCACTTGAATATTTCACTGACTGCGATGATTAGGGACACAATTCACCTCCTAAACACATCTTTGACACTCTAGGGAATCCCCTGTGTGGTGGTATATACGACTCAGGAGCCTTTTTCTTTTTAGGAGCCACAGGTAGAAACCAGTAGATTGTTAATATAGTCTGAAACCAAACCCCAGTCAGGCTGTAAAACAGCCGTCTCAGCTACTCTGCACTCAGAAAGAAGGGTGAAATTCCAAGGTTTCAACCCTTTCTAAAATACAAAGAATAAAGTATTGTGTTGCTTATATAATTTTTTTAAGATGCATTCTTATCACAACATCTGGACTATATAAATGGACCTGGATACTAAACTAAATGGAATAATTCCTGTCCCATCAACAGTAAAAACCTGACTTATATATTCTAAACGGAAAAACAAATTTATCAACATGAAGAAATACTGGGAAGCTTCATGAGTACATTAAAGAGACTAAAAATTAATATTTCCATATTGGGCAATCAGCATAAATTTAAATTCTTTCCAGTTTAACCTAGACCTTTAGTAAATGGAGATCTCTCTGCATCACTACAGCATCTTGTACTTTCAGGTCTGGACCCAGCATGGGTTTTTCAAGCCCTGCTATGGTACAGAAATATTCAGAAAGGACAAGATATGCTTGATGGAATAGCAAAGTAGTAAAAGTTCATTTGTCCACTAGATGGCTTCATTCCCATGAAGATAATTGAAATGAAATTCAACCTCATTGATTCCCGTGTTAACAGACAATCCTAAGAAACTAAAGAGGTTGATTATGTGTTTGTATGAAACTGATTATTAACTCTATATATCTGCCAATGAAAAAGATATTGTAAAGGATATAGCTTCCTTACCTCTTGGTTCAGAAAACAGTAGAGAACTGCTACAATAAACCCCTGAAAAAGAACAGGAAAAAAAAAAAGGTTGACTGTTAGCACAGTTTGAAAAAGCAACTTGGGCTATCATGATGGTACTCTGTATGTGAATTAATGACTATCACCATAGGTTGAAGGATTTTTATGAATTGGAAAACTCTTTATATATCTCCAATAAAGTTGATCAGTCAGATACTCAACCAGTTGGTGGCATTTCACCAAAGTCACTAACGTGGTATGAATTCACAAGAACAGATGATATGGCAATTGAAGTTCTCCCACGTTATGCTTAAAAAAATATGGTCTGTTCTACAGCCAAACACACTGTAGGGTAATTCTTTAAACAGTGTAAATCTGTAAGGAAACACCAACTTCGTAAGGAGATCCATGTATGGACCTCAAACAGCTTTCTAGTCAACTTCTGTGTCTTTGCAGTATGTCAGATGAGATCAAATTCTGGCCTATTGAATACTTTTGTTAAGATTCTGAACTGAGATAAACCCAGGAAAATCCTAGGAGGTCAATGGACCCATGTGATCAGATAACAGCTAACCACCTCACCCTTTTATTCAGTTAACTTACTCCTTACATTGTTAATTAACTCCATGAAGGCCAGCTCCAAGTACAGAGGGTCAGGATTAAGGTGTGCAGGTGCGTTGGACAGGACTGACACAATGGATTACATGGATTAAAAGCACAACAGCTGGATTTTTGGTGATGCTTACTGACAAATGATGCCATGCAACCATTCAGAGGGAGATACGTTCCCTTGTGAGGTTTGGTGGGATTGTAGACCCTGAGTTGCAGCACAGGGAAAGGGAGGAAAGCAGAGGGCAGCTGGGTGCTGCCTTGCTCATAACTCAAGTAGTAAAGCCACCTGGAGGGTACATCGGAGGAAGCCCAGTAGCTGTTCTAGTTTGCAACAAGCTCCTCAAGCTGTCCATACCCTGTTTGTCAATCCAGAACAGTTGGGGGCATGGAAAGTACACCAAACATTTTCCCTACCCAGGAGGGAAAAGCGTATAGCATTCCTCAGGGCAGTGGTCCATATGTGCATCAGTCACTATTCTGTGTTTATATGCTTGCTATCAATTTATTCTTTGGCCAAGGATTTGAAAGGAGGCTGGACCTACAGCTTTGATTGCCCCTGGGTAATTTAATGTCAGCCCAAAGCTGCTTGATCACGTCAGGGAAGGTAAGTGGATTACCACTGGTAGCAAAGAAGGTTTTCCATCCAAGTTACACACCCATCTGAAAGACTTGGCCCTGTATTTGCAAAATCTGCAATATCTATAGCCAGGTAGGATGCAGGTCACAACTTCAGGTACTGTAACTCAGCAAAGAAACGTGAACTCTGTGAGGAGACATTAGCTTCAGGATCCAATGTTTTTTTGTGCAATACTAGTTGTCGTGTTGACATTAGATTCAATTGGAAAATCTAAGAAGGAACTGAAGCTTCTGTGGTTATTTTACCTGAAAAGATCCAATGCAGAGCTCTAAGTAAAGTCGAACCCCCAGGCTGGTATATTCCGGAAGAAAGTTGAAGACAATATAATGGGTTCCAAATAATGGAATTAGAAGCAGAGTTGACCTTGAGAGACGTCTAGCGAAGGACATGAGAAGAAGTAAGGTAATATTATTTTCCTGAGTAAAGAGCAATGCATGCAATGGGCAACAGTAATGAACAGAAGTTAAACAGAGGATGTAAATATCTACATGTGAAGTTCATATCTCTTGGGACCACAGTGCTGGACAGAAATCATAACAAGAAACTAGCTGGAAATAGATTTCTGATGCTTACTGCCTTATCGGCAGTACCACGTTCATGGCAATACCATTTTCATGGCATTTCTTAAGGTACTTTGACATTCTGTCTTTCTGAATGAGTTTACAGTTCAGGAAAATACAAAGGAGTAGAATGTATTTTGCCCCATTGGAGCCACTGAAAATTTGACATTTATTTGTTAGTAAATACAGAGGAAGCACTATGCAGGCTCGCTTTATAGCCCATGTACAGGAAAAGGCATCTATAGAGAGTAATTTATGCTACCCTAAATCAGACATCTCATGTGGATTTAATTAATGATTTCCTAGTCTCACCAGTGATTTTAACTGGAAGGTAGATATCTGAGCTGATCTGAACACATTATGTTTAGATGGTCACTATTAGCTGAGATAAGTCTCATCCTTTGACTAGTTTCCTTGGGAATGGGATAAAGTTGAGAATTTCTAAAATTTAATGCAAACCAAACCCAGCCTGTCTGTGACACTGGACACGTGTTTCTCATTTTAGAAAAGATTACACAAGTTTTTATGATTAAAATAATTTATATTCTTTTTATTCCATACATTACCTGTACTGAGAAGAGTTATTGAAGTTGATTTGTCTAGGGTCCAGCTTTTTCAGCAAAATTCTGATGATGTTGATAAATAGGACAAAATTGACCTGTTCACAAGGGTGGGGGTGAGGAAAAGTTACTTTTGCATGTAAAACTTTGCAATGAAAATGTGTTCTTTTACTTCAGCTATTATGCAATTTGTGCAGTTTCAAGTGAGACCAGTATAAGATTATTAATGTCATTCCTGTTGGCAGCATTCAAGCATCTCAATAGGTTGCATTCCTTCTTAAAGAAATAGCTGAAGATGAAAGATTGAGAATTTGACTCTGTTAAGCAAACTATTTTTGTCAATAGCTTGTGTGACTCTTCTTATTTTTTGTAGCTTGTATAATTTTGATTCTCTTTAGAGATGGTCATTACAGGAAATTCTGGCTAATATCTTTAGACATTATTGGTAGAATTCAAAACATGTCATTGTAGATACCTGTCAAACTGCAGGTATCTACAATGACATGTCTGTATCTGAGCTGATTACCCTGTTGTCCCTTTATAGTCAAGGGAGATCCAGCCAGTACAGCCAACGGAGCCCCAGGTAGAGTTGAGGATGAGTCATCTCCTCCAAATGCAGACATCTATTATAAGTCAGATGAATCGCATACCAAAAGTGCATATTTCTCTTTGTTGACTCTGAACAGAACTGAGGAGCCTTAGCTCAGCTGCAAAGCTAGCTAGGGTCAATCCTAACTCTCAAAGAAAATTTTTTACACTTGTAATTTGGCACAGCTTTACCAAAGTCCGTGAAGCTGCTCAGTTATCCACAATAACTGTTTCTCCCCGTGTATTTTGTGTGTGTCCGTACACACTAGGTCTTCATTAGGTGAGGCCGTATGCTATAATTTTGCCCAAGAATGTCCACATTTTACGAAAAAGTCCAATCTTGTTTTATCCAGCACTGATACATTAAGTACATTCCAGCAGAAAAATCATCACTGCAATCCCCTGATTCTTTTGACCTCAAATGTGGATGTCAGATGAGCACTAGCAGGGGGGAGAAATAATGCAGATGGAAGGAAATATAAGATTTTATTGAAACATGGCAAACTATGACCAGAATTCAACTTGAGATTTTTCATTCATATTGTTTGCCTATATCTCCCTTATTTGTATGCATGTGTCATCCAACTAAATTAAGCGTTTAATAGATGGACTTAAGGTCATCCATTAGCTGCTTTCTCAAACATTGCTTGGGTTTAATGGCATGTGGGAGTAATCATACACGATAACCATTTAAAGTCCGTAAGTTTATTCAATAAATGTCAGGCTCAAGAGTTATTATCATTGTTATCACCTATGAACAGAAACCTATTGATTTTGAAAGTTTATATTAAAATTTATGGATGATTCTGGACTCTTAGGCTAAAACTTGTGCTTTCAAAGATTGTAAGGATGGCTTAACCTCTCACCTGTCATTATTTTCAACCAAACTGACAATTTTATGAAATCTTTCATTTCTTTTGAAGGATATTTGCTTGGGAGAGGAGGCACTTCTCTGCCTCTTTTTCATTTGCATTGGACATGGGCAGATTTACAGTAGAAATTCTACCATTCCTCTTCCTTATTTCAAACAACACTTGAGCAAACAGCAACCAAATTTTAATCTAAAAGTCTTTTTTCTTCTAATTAGTGTTGGCAAACTTGAAAGTACCTACCCCAACAGAAATTATAATAGGTCCTTTGATTAGCCACCAGTATGGAGAGTCTTGATTAATATCCCAGCATCTGAGAAAATAACAGTAAGTTTAGAAAAGCCATGTATGCAATCACTGCAATCGAGATACTACCTAGCAGTGACAGTGAAAATCTGAAGACATGTATTTTTATGGAAGTACAGGTATAGCTCAAGTATCCAAATAGTTACACTCTGCTTTGAACAGGACATACTCTACAGATTATCCTATTTTTTTCAAAAAGAAATAATGATCTCAGTGTGGTAACTGACAGACATGGATACAACAATTCTGACAAAAGACTTAAACAGATGATGCCATTGATACAAAGATATAACTTTTTTCTTCAAAGACACTTATTTAAGACATTAAACATTTTGCCTGTGTAAAATAGTGAGCCCTCCATGCTTCAGAAACATCAAAAGGTATTTTGTATTAAAAAGTCCTAAAATTTTGCTTTCTTACTTTGTTTATCAGATTAGAATCTCTTTTTTTTTCTTGCAGCACAAATAAATATTTCAGATTCCTGGGAAGGATTCCCTGCACAATTACAATATCATTGCCATATTATACTTTAATGGAGATTGTAATCCCCATTCACTATGCCCATAGCGGAATGGAGATGCAGAACTCCACCACAGGCACTAATCTACTTGGTGATGCAGGGAAAGGAGGGTAATATACTGATACTATTTTCCCATGTCATTGAAATTACATAAATCTTCATCACTACCTTTATTTTAAAAATATAACTCAGAAATCTAGAATAATGTAGGAAACAATTACTTACGCTGTGTCTTCAAAGTAGAGTTTTGCTATTATCCAGATCAGAGTGAAAAGCGTTGGAAAACCTGATAGGTAGTTAAACAAAAACTGTCTAAAAATCTAATTTCTTTGATTAATCCAAATCTTGTCTCCTGAAACTCTGCTGGGATGATACTGATCACTCATTTTCAGAAATGGAATTACTCTCTGTGGCCTGTTCATGTAACAGGAATTGCTCTAGGCTCATGGTATAAACCTAAAAAGAAATCTTCTAATACCCATAATGCAAGGCAACAAGTTAAGGCATTGACTGTTTGGTGATCATGCATCATTGTGGAGATATGAAGGGACACACTTTGC